AGGATAACTACAGATGTGAGCGGCAAGGTTAATCTACAGTTCTGTCTTTAGGATGATAGCGGCACTCACGACCAGGACCTGCTAGGCCCGCCCAGCTCGGGACAGACAGGTGCACCCCGACTTACACCCTGGGGTGGCTGTGTCGAGAGGTTAAAATATTTATTCCGTTTTCGACACAAATTAAAATATGCGAAGGGTGTTGAACCGTGGAATGAGGTGCATACACAGACTCGGCACTCACTGGTAATCCCTGGTAATGCTCACACTTGTGAGCGGTCCTTTCAAAGGACAAATTTGTTGATTGAGACATGCATTTCGTGCACATCTTGCTTAAATGCAAACGCGCATGTTTAATGTGTCGAGTTTGCATGCCCCTCAGGGGCAAAAATATTGTAATTTGCCCAATCACAGAATGTAAATTTGTAACTTGCAAGATAAATAATTAAGAACTAAGTACCTAGTGCACAAAAATGCCTCTTTCGAGGGACAAAAAAATGGCAGTTTAGATTTAGAATGCAGGCGAATCATATCTAGTATTCATTGGTAATCTTTGATAATCATTGGTTATCTTTGGTAATTATTGATAATCATTGGTTATCTTTAGTACTCATCGGTAATCTTTACAATTTTGTAAATCGGTGCCAAAATTTTTATGGAGCTAACCATCCCTCGAAAATACTATGACATGATTGAGATTTGTGTATTGCTGAAATATACCGGGTGGGTGTTCTAAGCCGGTGGTTATACAGTACCGCACGCAGGCGTGTGTGTGCAGCTGGGCCCCGTGCGAGTATGCAACCAACCCGTCCGCATGTATGCACGCGGTACAGTATAACCAGAAAAAATAAGTGCGGTGTAGAAAATGTAAATCGATCCCGGACGGCCTAATACCGATGTGCCGCCCACTGGCTGGTGAATGTGTACTGGCTCTTACGGAGGAGACGCCGCGACCGCTAGGCCGTCGCCTTACTGTGTCAGGACTACTCGCTTCAAACGTAAAGGCACCATGGCTCCCGCGGTAGGCAAGCCCGCAACACTGCGGTGTCGTGGGCCCGGCACACGGCGTGCGGGCGTGACCTTGCCGTAAGTACTCAAGGAGCCATCTTCTTCTGGTCTTGTGCGGCCGGCTCGACGAGTGCACAGGTCGGGTCACAAGGTGACGGGCGGCCAACGACTCCCGACTCTGAACGAGTCTTGGGCGCCCCCCTCGTCCCCTCCTTTCCCACCCTCTACCTCTTCCCAAACGGGTATGTCTCTTTATTGCCAGTCTTTGGTCGTGTTTGGTTTACGCCGTTTTTCTACGGTTCCAGAACGAGGTAATTAAGCGACAGTGCTGTGAGGAAGATGAGGGTGTAGCGGGATGTAACCAAAGTGCCACGAAACAACACGTCGCAGCTCAACAATAAACATTTATTTAATAAGTTAGAGGTAGGTAAATGTTTCCGATATTTTCAGCAGTTTCGCAGTGCCAGTCGGAACATCGCTAGATGGCCGCCACGACGTCCTCGAGACGCGCGCCCCGCAGCGCGTCCTCGAAGAGCTCCCGCTGCAGCGCGTCGGGGCTGGCGGCGCACAGCGCGGGCAGCGCGAGCAGCACCCCGCGGTGGCGGCCGGGCGGCGCCCCGAACACGTCCGCGCACACCCGCTCCTGCCAGGCGGCGGCGCGCGCCCGCTCCGCCCCAGCCGACAGCAGGTCCGGTCGGGCCAGGATCACGGACTCCAGGAGGGCGGCCTGCTGCGCGTCCAGCCGCAGGCCCTGCAAGAAGCGCAGCGCGCCGACCACGGCGTCGCTGCAGCCGGCCGCTGCCAAGCCGAGCGTCAGACATCAGGACACGTGTGAGCGAGCGCGCGCGAGCTGGGCCCGCGGGGCAGGGCTTACCCTCGAGCAGCGCGGCGACGTCCAGGTCCCGGGCGCCGCACATGGTGCTGACGCTCAGCATGAAGATGGCGGCCCAGACGGACCGCAGGATGGCGTCCTGCGCAGCGCGGCTCAGCGTACCGAGCACCTCATGCGCGCGGGCGCGCCGCAGGCTCAGCAGCAGCACCTGCGCGGCCAGCTCGCGCGCCCACAGCGACCCCGGCGGAGGACCCGGCGGGGGCGGCGGCACCAGATCCAGCGCTGGCCCCGGCGCGCCGCACGGCCTGCCCAGGCTCTGCATGGGGCTGGCTAGCGGGGCGTACCGGCCCGCCTGGGGCCTTGGGGCGGACAGGCTGGCGGCCGGGGCAGCGGCGCGCTGGAAGGCGCTGTCCCTGCCGTCGCCCAAGCCCCGGCCTGACGCCCCCGGGTCCTGCTGACAGCCGCTGGCCTCGGAGCCCGCCGGGGAAGACGCGGACCAGCAGCCCGGCGAGGACGGCGGGCCGGACGGCAGGCCGCCCCCGCACTCGCTGGCCGACGAGGAGGCGGGCGGCGCTGGCGGTGGGGGTGTGTACGCTGCCGAGGCGCCGCGGCCGCGCTCCACCGACGGCCTGGTGTCCTTCCTACTGGCATCGGTCTTGGATTTGCGGGGGCCTCGCTCCTGCTGTACGGCTATTGGAACAGAGGGACGAGTATGTAATTCATTTCAACACAACAAACATTTACGACAGGTTAGCAAAGCAAATGACAATATTCGGCCGAGGTGGTGAATTTCTTTGCCTTAAATTCTCAAGTGCTTAGCAAAACTGCAATCTGACGGTGAACATACGCGGTCCTGGCGCCCGATGATGTATTGTGTCCCGTCCTGTCACCACCACTGGTCACCGAGGGTCACCGCGGGGGTGCGGGGCGGGCGGAGCCACCTAAGGCGCAGCGGACCGTGGCGACCCGACCCGGACCCTCACCCCTCC